AAACAGCAAGGCCTAATTTCCGATTTTCTGGAGGTGGTGGCTCTGTTTGTATAATTTCTTCTGAGCAAGGAATACCACCCTCTTTTCAAAGGAATGAACAAATATAATATATTGCATCCTTTTCAAGGAAACTTGCATAAAGGCATGCTGCACTGTGGTCTCTGAAACAGCAACTGCTTATTGAAGAATACAGTGCCCTTTCAAAATAATGCTGTATTTCCTGCAAGGAACACTATACTTCTTCAAATGGCAATTCCATGCATTGCGCTTTATTACAGACACATCACCCTCTTTCAAAGGGATTGTTGTAGATATGAAAGGGTTCCCTTTTGTACAACAACTTACTGTAAATCACACCATACTCAGCCATACTCTTTCACTAGGACTGCTGTGTGTCTTGAAGGCTACTTCTCAAAGAGATGATACATACTTTTGAAAGGAATATTGTGTGTAACTGTATATATACATATATATAGTTAATAATATCATACAGTGAATTATGTTATTTGAAAATTATATTGTATTTTCCAAATGAATAATATTTTTTCGAAGTAATATGACATAACACCGTTGTTTAAATCAAGATTTCATGAAACCATCAAGTACTGTCTGAAAGGAATGCCGCTTTTCTGAAAAACACTAATGTATATGCATATTTTATCTTAAGGAAATGCTACCCTTCTCTAAAAGGACTACTACCTCTATGGAAGGAATTACAATATGTTCATTAAAATATATGGAAGACAGAACGCACTTGTTCTAAAGGAATGCTATGCACATCTGAGGGTCTTGCTTTACACTTTCTCAAAGGAATGTTGCTCCCTCTATAGAAGAATGTTGCATAGAGGCATGCCACAACTTCCTCAAGAAATGCCACATTCTTTCAAATTTTCAACGATGACTTATGAGAAGCATGCTTTGGCCCTTAGAATCTGAGTTGATGTTGTACTAGGGTTTAATAACACATTTTTTTTCAAAGGAACAATATGCTTACCCTTGCAAAACATTCCATATCTCTTTATGTAGGGAGCTCTGTCAGGAAGATGCAGTACTGCTTGGGGACAAAACGAAATCTTCTGTCAATCAAAAGTGCTGTTTCCTCTTGTTCATGCTTGCTATAAAAACCTGCAACATAGAAGCAAACACAACCCTATCATTTGAGCATGGCGCAACAGGGCAAAATTGAATTTTCTCTCTGATATTCACTGGCTAAATGACATAGAACCGTTGATACCATTATTTAGTTTCTCGCTGTGCATGTGCAATATGTTTTGTTTCTTGTGACCCAGCTGGATGAAATTTTTGAGGTATGCATATGTATAAATATATATCATATAGATGAGATCTTGCAGCAACATCGCTGGCATATATATATATATGATATCTTGATGCAACATCAGTGAAAAAAACGCACTCTCACAGTCCCCCGCTCTCAAAAAAAATAAGTACTGTAGATCCAAGACTAAACCAGGGTTTCGTTTGGGGATTTGGGGATTGGATGATGTTTGGTGGGAATTGGCTTTGAGAATTCCCCACAGCTGGCTGGAAAATTGGAGATTGGGAGTAGGTCCAAACCCATTATCCCAGCCAAGACCATTCTGCTCATTCTTGGGATGTGTGATGCCAGAGTTTTTTTTTTGGGTGTTGACCACAACCAAATGTGAAAACCACATGATGGCCACCTTGGTTGGATGATCTTCAGCCGGAGTGTGATGAATATGTGACAAGTCATGCGATACAACCTGCAGCAATGAGAACATGTCTTAAAACTCATTATATAGGGACTTTGTCAAAAATAGTGATTTATATGGAAATTACACGGGCGTGGGGCGTCCCCCTCTCTAACCTAAATGACCCTGAACATACCATAAACCAACCGTAAATAAACCCTAAACCAACCCTAAATAAATCTAAGCCAACCCTAAATAACCCTAAATAAACCCTAAACCAATTGTAAATAAACCCTAGCCCAACCCTAAGTAAACCCTACACCAACCCTAAGCGAAACCTAAATAAACACTAAACCAACCTTAAATAAACCCTAAACAAACACCAAATAAACTCTAAACCAAACCTAAACATAATCTAAATGACCTTAAACCAACCAACACTATGATAGCATCCAATGCCACTATTTCGACCCAACACGGTTGTGCTTCAACCCATATTCTGCATGCTCACCAGGTGCATGTTATGCATGGAAAAACCGATCGAAACCATGGAAAAATCAAATGGAAAAACCGATGACAACTTTGGGTAAATCAATGAACACCATGGAAAAACCGGCTAAAACCATGGAAAAATCGATGAGCAGTGCAAATGGGACATTTTAGTTCCAAAATTCAGCAAAGTACAGTTTTTTGGCTCCAAAATGTAGCAAGTAGCAAGGAAAAGCGCCCCAGACTGAAAAACAAAAAAAACAAGATGCAGCCCACGAACCCGAATGCTCACACGTATGTTGATGGTACAGATGTCAAAAAACATGGATATGCAGTCACGCAGAACACTTTTCTGAAACAGTTTATTTGAACAGTCTTGTACATTTTTCCCCTGTTACCATGCCAGGGCCCCGTAGACTGTGGAATATGGAAGAAGGTGGCGTGCAAAGTGTGCAGTGTGGAGTGTAGAGTCTGGAGTGTAAAGTATGAAGTGTAAAGTGTGGAGTGTCAAGTGTAAACTGTAAAGTGTGGAGTGTGGAGCGTAAAGTGTAAAGCGTAAAGTGTGGAGTGTAAAGTGCAGAGTGTGGAGTGTAAAGTGTGGAGTCTAGAGTGTAGAGTGCGGAGTGTAGAGTGCAAAGTGTGGAGTGTAAAGCGTGGAGTGTGGAGTTTAAAGTTTAGAGTGTGGAGTGTGGAATGCAAAGTGCAGAGTGTAAAGTGTAAAGTGTGGAGTGTAAAGTGTAGAGTGTAGAGTGTGGAGTGTGCAGTGTAAAGTGTGCAGTGTAAAGTGTAAAGTGTGGAGTGTGGAGTGAGGAGTGTAAAGTGTAGAGTGTAGAGTGTGGAGTGTGGAGTCTGAAGTGTAAAGTGTGGAGTGTCAAGTGTAGAGTGCGGAGTGTAAAGTGTAGAGTGTGGAGTCTGAAGTGTGAAGTGTGGAGTGTAAAGTGCGGAGTGTAAAGTGTAAAGTGTGGAGTGTGGAGTGTAAAGTGTAGAGTGTGGAGTGTGAAGTGTGGAGTTTAAAGTGTGGAGTGTAAAGTGTAAAGTGGGGAGTGTCCTGTGCAGAGTGTGGAGTGGAGTGCAAAGTGTCAAGTGCAAAGCGTGGAGTGTAAAGCGTGGAGTGTAAAGTGCGGAGTGTAAAGTGTAAAGTGTGGAGTGCCGAGTGTAGAGTGTAAAGTGCAGAGTGTGGAGTGTGGAGTGTGGAGTGCAAAGTGTGGAGTGTAAAGTGTGGAGTGTGGAGTGTACAGTGTAGAGTGTAGAGTGTGGAGTGTGAAGTGTGGAGTGTAAAGTGTGGAGTGTGGAGTGTAAAGTGTAGAGTCTGGAATTTGGAGTGTGAAGTGTGGAGGGTGGAGTGTAGAGTGTGGAGTGTGGAGTGTAGAGTGTGGAGTGTAAAGTGTAGAGTGCAAAGTGTAGAGTGTAAAAAGTGTGGAATGTAAAGTGCCGAGTGTAAAGTGTAAAGTGTGGAGTGTAAAGTGTAGAGTGCGGAGTGTGGAGTGTAGAGTGTAGAGTGTGGAGTGTGGAGTGTAAAGTGTGGAGTGTGGAGTGTAAAGTGTGGAGTGTAAAGTTTAGAGTGTGGAGTGTGGAGTGAGGATTGTAAAGTGTAAAGTAATGAGTGTAAAGTGTAAAGTGTGGAGTGTAAAGTGTGGAGTGTAGAGTGTGGAGTGCGGAGTGTAGAGTGTAAAGTGTGGAGTGTAAAGTGTGGAGTGTAAAGTGGAGTGTGGTGTGTGGACTGTAGATTGTAGAGTGTAAAGTGTGGAGTGTAAAGTGTGGAGTGTAAAGTGTGGAGTGTAAAGTGTAGAGTGTGGAGTGTGGAGTGTAATGTGTAGAGTGTAAAGTGTAGAGTGAAATGTGTAAAGTGTGGAGTTTAAAGTGTAAAGTGGGGAGTGTCGTGTGTAGAGTGTGGAGTGTAGAGTGTCAAGTGTAAAGTGTCAAGTGTAAAGCGTGGAGTGTAAAGTGTGGAGTGTAATCTGCAAAGTGTGGAGTGTGGAGTCGGAGTGCTGCGCCTGCCACGCAGAATGACGACAGAGATCTCCAAAATGCTGCGACTGCCACGAAAACTGCTACTGATCTTGCGCAAACGACGCAAAAGTATTGCGCCTGCCACACAAAACGATTTTCGACACGTTATCAAACAGGCTGGAATGTCACAAAGTGGCGCGCCTGCCACGCAAAAACTACATTACAACCTGTTTGGGACGTTTTCCTACGAGTTTTCTTAGGAACCTCTAAAATTTGCTACCTCAAAATCGATGTTTCGTGCGAGGCTTCCGTCAGCACATCTCACAAAATGCCACGCCTGCCACGGAATTTGCACCTTGTCGCCACTTGACACAGCCCTGACAATGCGATTCGCAAAAAACACGCACACGACACGTCTGAAGTGCTGCGTCTGCCGCGCAAAATCACGATGGACACGTCCGAAGTGCTGCGCCTTCCACGAACACTGCAACGCATCTTGCAAAAACGTCGCAAAATTATTGCGCCTGCTACACAAAACGACTTTCGACACCAGGCCTGCCTCCAAAAATGAACACCCCCAGAGTGAAACGGGAACACTTGCTATGCATTCGGGAAAAACAAAACAAATCTGCATCCTTTTTATGGTGTCATGATTGATGCCTTTTTGATTTTTTTTGTCTGAATTAGGATTTCGGATCCAACACTTCCATACACTTTCCCTATGTCTTGAATGCATTGCAGAGGATTCTTTCCATTCAGTCATAGTGGTTTGAGAAACTCGGTTTTGCTTTACCTTGTTTTGTGCGCTTTATCATTATCTTTCTTTGATTCTTGTTTTTTCTTAATCTTGCTTTGCTTTGGGTGACATTGATGGTCATGGACTGGGTTCAGGGTCCCTGGGCACTTTTCTGTATCGAGCTGGAGCGGAGAGCTTGGACGAATTCCTGTGGGCGGAAGATGCAGACTTCAAGGCTTGGCTTGGGGTGAGGTCCCCTGATAACACGTGAGTGGCACATGAATCGCAAATCACAAATAGTATCAAGATGCATAGCATGGTGCAGCGAACATCATTGGACTCGATGTTTTATTTCATGGCTGCTTGTTTTTTTTAGTGAGTGGCGAGTCTCTGTTTATTTCCCTTAAGAAATCTAGTTGGGTGCAGAGGGTTCAAGCATGTTCAAACAGATTCAAACAGCACAAACTCAGCCAGGACCTCTTCCCCGACCGAGACTTTGTCGACCCTGCCTCAAGCACCTTCAGATTGCTGAAACCCCGCGTTGCAAATTCATCAAATTCCAATTTGAACATCCAGATCCTTGGTCCAAAAGCCTTGCCTGAAGTACTTGCCAACATTTTCCCTCCCTTTTGGCGTTGCAAGTCTGAAGTGGCACTTGCCGATGGCAAAGTTCTTATTGATGGTCAGCCGCAAGAAGAGCTACAAAAGACTTATGCCCAGATGAAGGAGCAAAGCGCTAAACCGATGAAAGGTTATCCAAAAGGCGCGAAAAGTTGCCCAGGTAGCCGCCCATCTCAAAAGGTTGCCACAGGAAGGAAGAACAAACCGTCGAAGAAGTTTGGAAAGCAAACTTTGGACTTTGATTCTGGCCAGGAAGATGTGTATAGCGATGATGATTGGACGGAGTCTGAAGAGGCTCAACCAGGCAAACCAGACACGCCAGACAAATCAGACACGAAGACTAGACCAACTCAGCCTGGTGCTAGTTTTTGTGTCAAGGTTTCCAATGCCACTGAGATGAATGTGACGGTGCATCGATGCGAACTCTTGTGGAAATTTGTGGAGGGCCTCCCGGACAAGAGCAACGCGATGCAGCAACTTCAAGACCTTCCATGTATCCCTGTTCTTTCTTCGGCGCAGGTGCGATTGATGAGTTGTCAAGGTGCACACAGACAACATTTGCTCTCTTTGGAGGACTACACTGCAGAAGAAGTCAAACTTCTGAGCTGCCTCGGTTGCTTCCTTGCACGACCCACAAAAAAATTGCGGACATTTCTTGGAATTGAACGAGCTTCTGCACTGAACGCGTTGCCAAAAGCTGTAGAGCGCATGGGGCCCTCAGGCAACTCTGTGACCCCCAACATGCCTGGCATGCGGATGTTTTTAGGGATGAAGGATCTGCGTCTGGACATTGAGAGGGCGAGGCCTTTGCAAAGGCTTGTGGTCTCTATTCTGCGTAGCGCGAAGAAAAGGGATGTGGAAAAAACAATGTCCTTACCAGTTTTTGAGACAAGAGGGGGGAAGTTCGCAGTGCCAGTCAGTCCCGGAGCATCAATCGTTGCACCCAATGAGGAGTGGGACGAGTTGCTTCATGAAGAGTTCAAAGATTTTCTTTTGAACTTGGATGCAGATGGAGATGGAGGGCATTTGATTCGTGAGTTGGGAATCCAGCGCAGCAACCTGTCAGAATTCTTGGCTCGCTTTTGCGCGCCCCGTGCAGGTCTTTTCAATCAGAAACTTTCGGTACACTTTCTCGAGTCAGTGGCTGCTCTGGGGTCCACCATTTGGAGGAAAAATGTACAAAAAGATTACGTCGCAATTGCGACCTCTTGTGAGGAGGCGCCTGTGGTTGTTTTCAATGATGGCCGGGATGCCCGGCGCTGCCGATGCTCGGAGCTTGTAGATCCAGAAGATGTGCAAGTCACAATCGCTATGCACCCCCCCAGGGAGTACTGCAGTCCAGTAGTGGCGTGGCAAGATGTGGCAAGGCAATGCCCAATGAAGTTTCAAAGTGTTTTTGGATGTTTTCATATGTTTTCGGTACTTTTTTACTCCTGCACTTTGAGGCTAGGAAAGCTTCCTACGTTTCCTAGTTTCCTCCTGACGGAGCAACTCAGATGGCCCTGCCACCTGTGGCAACACCTGTGACAAAACGCTGCCATACAGTAACGTGCAGCAAAAGTTGCAACGATTTTCATTCACGCGACGCGATGTTGTCTAATAGGTCCTGAAGGAAGGCACAGCATAGGATCTAGTCTTGTCATTTGTTGCTATCTGACGCTGTCTTTCATCATTAAATCAATAGCTGCTTGTTCGTCTTTCCTGGATGATGCTCTCTTCGGTGTTTCTCTTTCAGGCCCTAGGTGTTGCTGAGACGCTTTTGTGTGTTTGTGGCTTTGAGCATGAAAAGAAGGACAGGATGATGCATGACAACAGATGATGACCCCAAACTAAATGAGCAGTTAATAAACATAAAACGACATGAGCAAGCATGATTTATTGGTTCTCGCTTCCGGGTGCCTGATACTTATTTAGATCAATACTGTCGTTCTGCTGGATTTCTTGTTGCCTTATGCTGTCTTACATCTGCCAGTGTCCATAGTTGCGAGTGTGTCAGATTTGTCGGTGTCTAGCAGTCTAGCAGTCAGAAGATCTAACTGAGAAGAATCATCCTTAACATTCAGGAGTACAGGGTCACAGAGTCACATGGCTGTTTCATCCTGAGAGCAGGGTCGAAGATGATGTCAGAAGCGTCTTTGCAAAAAGCCTGGTCCAAGATGATCAATTTATGTCTATGATAGTTCTCTGCTTGCTATTGCTGTAGATTCCTGCGTGTGTAATCTATGTTATTTGGGTGCATTTAGTCTATTTTCAAATATTTTCTATGTGCGATCCTTTATCTTTTTTCAAGCCTTTCTGCTGCTCGAGGTTCTCTCAGTCTTGCGGAGGGCAGGGCTCAAGAGTCTGACTGATGAAGAAGTTTTTCTCAGTGCGGCGCGCCATGTGGAGGCCCTGACTTGCATGTCTGGACGTTTCTTGACCCTAAGCCGTAAGCACCCGTAAGCACCTTCAAGCCTTCAAGAACAAGACTAGACATAGACAAAGCAACTTTCAGCTTGCCCGATCTTGGAATAGTTGCATGGTTGCTTTCTTGTAATTAATGGGAATCGAAGTGGATGGCATTCATACTTGTGATTCTTATGCAATGGTTAGGCTTGGTGCATGAGATTGCCAGGCTTCTGGTGAGGCAGCAAAAGGTGAAGAATTGCTGAAGCAGCTTGCAGACCGTTTCCAAAGCCTGAAGTGGAGCTCCAGGTCATTCGCAGCCCTCAGCCGTGTTCGGATCTTTCCCGCTATTGCTCCTGTGGCTCCTGTCCGTTCCGATGCGTATCCGCCACGATGTGCCAGCGTGGAGCGCGTTGCAGTTTCACTGGATGCGCCGTGCACTCTCTTCCAGCATGCTTCTGTGGCATGGACTCAACTGGCGCTACTTCACCCTGACACCTTCGACAAATGGCCCAAGCCTTTACTACAACGTTTCAGTGCAATCAAGGACACTGAGTGAGAAGAGATTGCAACACGGTCTTTAAGCGCGTCTTTCCCAGCTTAAACGTACACACACACACATATATATATAATATAATTATATATATATATATATGCTTTGTGGCACCCTTAGCAGATGCAGGACCCGCCATCTTTGGATGTGATCGTGGCAAATCTGATCGAAGCAGCACGTCGGTGGGGAGAGATTCGTGATGGAGAACTGGCTGAGGTTGCAAGCAAGGAGCATCGACAGCATCGACAAGAGATTGTAGTTTGCCACTTGGCAGCCCTCAATGCTGTGCGGCGGACCAATGCGCTGCAGAGCATGGTGCAGCACAGTCTTTGCAGAGTCAAATTTCTGGTGCCTGTGGTGCAGTTTGGACGTGATGAGATCTTGAAATTACACGATTAATTGACAAGAGCCAGTCGCCTACTCATCCTATTCCTTTCAAAACTGCGACTTTGCCTTCGGAAATTTCGGAATCGGGAAGTGGTCCAAGAACTTGACCTAAATTTTGTTGTATCATTCTCTTCAGATACACCCGATAAGGCGAAGCAAGCATCTTTGACGAAGCGCTTAAATGATTTTAATTGAGTAACTCAAGTGTTGATTTGTTGGATGCAAGAGGTCTCTCAATGAAGGAAGATGAAGGAAGATGAAGGAAGATGAAGGAAGATGAAGGAAGATGAAGGAAGAAGGGACTGGAATTGATTTGAATTGAGTGACTTGGTGTTCGATCATCCCTTTACGGCAGGTGAACATGGCTCGCAATCAGAATGTTTGCCCGTCATGACAAAACTGCACTCAGACGATTTCCAGACAAGATGATCAAGATATATCAAGATGCAAATCAAGCACATCCATTTGCATGATTTGGCGTTCAGAGTCAGAGACAGTAGAGGATCGTCTGGTCACTGACAATACCCAACGTTGGTGGCATGACCATGACCATTGGCTGTGCAGTCGAAGCATGCCGAAGCACTGCCACGGCCAGGTGCTAAATGATGGATCCTTGACGAGTCCGTGTGAGGCTTTTGCAGCACTTCATGGAGGCAACTCTGACGATGAGGCCACGACTGACACAAACTGACACAAACTGACACAAACTGACACAAACTGACACAAACTGACACAAACTGACACAAACTGACACAAACTGACACAAACTGACACACACTGACACACACTGACACAGACACAGACACAGACACAGACACAGACACAGACACAGACACAGACACAGACACACAGAGACACACACACAGACACACACACACACAGACACACACACACACACTCTGAGACAGCATGTGACAACATAGACTGACGGGATCTGATGACAAATCACAGTTGTTCACAGTTTGTCACAGCATGTCCCTGTCAGCTTGGCAGACTTTGACAAGAAGTTCTGGCTGCGTTTGTCTATATTAGCGTTGATTACAGGATGTTGTTCAAAGATATCCGAAGCTGTTCCAAGCTTTCGAAGATGTTTCCTCCGATTTGTTTCATCTCGTTTCATCTTGATTCATCTCGTGTTTCGTCTCATGTTCCGTGTCTCAGGACGAAGAGCCAGATCACGTGGCTTCAACATCGGCTACGTCATCGACGTGGTCGTTGCCGCGCTGCTTGCGACGGTATCGCCGCCTTCTCCTCGGTCACATGGTGCAGACTGGTGTAGACCGGTGCAGAAGTGCACACGTAATATGTAGTAATTAGATGTAATTAGTAGTTACACATGTGTGCAAAATTGTGCGCGGTCCATGAAAGTATTATTCAAATGCCCCTGAAAATATCGAAAGATCTCGTAAGAATCCGACTAAAGAGATCCTTCACCATGAGTACTGCCATGAATCATGCAAAGATGCCACGTTGTGCCTTAATTGATGCGAAGTCTCAGAAATCCGGCCCGTAGAGTGCACGTGGAACAAAGGTGGTGATGGGTCCGGATTACCAGATACAAAGCTTAGCCTGAACATTGTAACATGCCTGAACTGTTTTGCACACAGTTGTGAAAGCAGGAGGTTACTGTAGATGGAAGCTGCCTTGAACACAAGCAGATCCTGTCAAATAGCCATTCATGATCATGTTGTATAAGTTATGTATATCATTGTGTTTCATTGTATATCCACAATTATCCACAGAGATCACTGAGCATGAACCTCCGCAGCCTAGCCATTGGAAAATGATTTGGTGTCACTCTTATGATCTTGGGTTCATATGAAATCATTTCGAGCCAATGGTTTCTCAGAAGCTATTTTCCCAATCTTGTAAGAATTTGTAAGATGGTGCTCTTGAGAAATCTTCAGAAGTTTCATTCGCGGATGCAATTCGCTTGTCTCCCTTTGCATCAAGGCATCGCCGGCCCGGCTCTTCAGGGTGTCCAGCAGATGCCCATCATCCATGTGGAGACCCCGCCACAAAACCCAGTTCCTGATTTTATTCAGTGCTTTGACCGGAATTTGGCAAATTTGATCTTTGCATTCAGGCTACTTTGAGATAGCTTGGCTTAAATCAAGCGTAAGTATCTTGCAATCGATTATTTTTGATATCTTTTGATTTCATTTGATGTATTTGTCTTCGTTTTGCTGCATATGTCCTGAAAATTCCGATACGATTTTCACCGCCTTTTGCTTAGCCTGAATTCCTTTGTTGTGCTCTCTCGCGCAGAGCCGAGGAATTCCCTGAACTGTCCGGACTTGGCAGATGTGGTTTTCATACTTGGCCATGAAACGCCAGTTGAGCAGATCTATGCACAATTCTTAGATTGCATTCATAGAAACTGCAAGTTGTTTCACAACATTGCAATATCTCTTCCTGATAGTTCATGAGTTCCTGGGTCGTTTCTTACTGTTTTTCATAATTTTCCCGAGAGCGTCTGAGCGCAGGGTTCTTCCAATAGTGGGGGTCTGTATCTCATCTTCTCAACTTCACACCTTCTCATCTTCACATCTTCTCATCTTCACACCTTCTCATCTTCACATCTCATCTTCACATCTTCTCATCTTCACATCTTCTCATCTTCACACCTTCTCATCTTCACATCTTCTCATCTTCACATCTTCTCATCTTCACATCTTCTCATCTTCACATCCTCTCATCTTCACATCTTCTCATCTTCACATCTTCACATCTTCACATCTTCTCATCTTCACATCTTCTCATCTTCACATCTTCTCATCTTCACATCTTCTCCTCTTGCCCTCTTGGCCTCTTGCCCTCTTGCCCTCTTCTTCACATCTTCTCATCCTCACATCTTCACATCTTCATCACATCTTCACATCCTCACATCTTCACATCTTCTCCTCTTGCCCTCTTGCCCTCTTGCTCTCTCCTTCTTTTCTATTTCTCTTCTGAAGGCGGGGGCAGGGGCAGTGCCAACGAGACGGCACGAAACGCAATCCTTTCGCACGAAACGAGGTTCGATCGCCAAAAACTGAGGTAAAATTGCGATTCCCAAGTCGTCCCGCGCGACCCTTTCGCACGAAACGAGGTTCGATCGCCAAAAACTGAGGTAAAATTGCGATTTCAACTTGTCCGGCGCGGCGCAACCCTTTCGCACGAAACGCGGTTCGATCGTCAAAAGCTGCAAAAATTGCGATTTCACAACTTCCACGGCAACCCTTTCGCACGAAATGAGGTTCGATCGCCAAAAACTGAGGTAAAATTGCGATTTCAAGTCGTCCCGCGCAACCCTTTCGCACGAAATGAGGTTCGATCGCCAAAAACTGCGGTAAAATTGCGATTTCAACTTGTCCGGCGCAACCCTTTCGCACGAAATGAGGGTCGATCGCCAAAAACTGAGGTAAAATTGCGATTTCCGGGTTCCCGTTGCAACCCTTTCGCACGAAATGAGGGTCGATCGCCAAAAACTGAGGAAAAATTGCGATTTTTTCGGTGTGTACAAAGCTTCTGTGTGCTGTGTGTGAAAGCTTCTGTGTGTAAAAGCATCTGTGTAAAAGCGTTTGTGTAAACGCGTCTGCTTAAAAGCTTCTGTGTGCTCTGTGTCAAAGTGTCTGTGTGTCAAAGCGTCTGTGTGTAAAAGTTTCTGTGTGTAAAGGTGTCTGTGTGTAAAAGCTTCTGTGTGTAAAAAAGCGTTTGTGTAAAAAGCGTCTGTGTAAAAGCTTCTGTGTGTACAATCTTCTGTGTGTAAAAGCCTCTGTGTGTAAAAGCGTCTGTGTGTAAAAGTGATTGTGTGTAAAACCGCTTGTGTGTAAAACCGTCTGTGTGTAAAAGCGTCGGTGTGTAAAAGCGTCTGTGTGTAAAAGTGTTTCTGTGTAAAAGTGTTTTTGTGTAAAACCGTCTGTGTGTAAAAGCGTTTGTGTGTAAAAGCTTCTGTGTGTACAAGCGTCTGTGTGTAAAAGCGTCTGTGTGTAAAAGCGTCTGTGTGTAAAAGTGTTTGTGTATAAAAGTGTTTGTGTGTAAAAGCGTCTATGTGTAAAAGCTTCTGTGTGTAAAAGCTTCTGTGTGTAAAAGCTTTTGTGTGTAAAAGCGCCTGCGTGTAAACACTTCTGTGTGTAAAAGCTCCTGTGTGTAAAAGGGTCTTTGTTAAAAGTGTCTGTGTGTAAAAGCGTCTGTGTGTAAAAGTGTCTGTGTGTAAAAGCGTCTGTGTAAAAGCGTCTGTGTGTAAAAGCGTCTGTGTAAAAGCTTCTGTGGGTAAAAGCTTTGTGTGTAAAAGCGTCTGTGTGTAAAACTGTCTGTATGTAAAAGCGCCTGTGTGTAAAAGTGTCTGTGTGTAAAAGTGTCTGTGTGTAAAAGTGCCTTGTGTGTAAAAGCGTCTCTGTGTAAAAGTGTCTCTGTGTAAAAGCGCCTGTCTGTAAAAGCTTCTCTGTGTAAGGGGTTCTCTGTGTAAAAGCTTGCTCTGTGTAAAAGCTTCTGTGTGTAAACGTGTTTGCGATGCAAACTATTGTCTTGTACTTATGCTACATTGTCTTGATACTCCTCTTCTCGACTGCCTATAACACATCTTTAATATATTGTTTTGTAATATGGTGTCTCCATACTAACAAGAGAAGACCCTGCTCCTCTACGCTCTCGGGCCATCCGTCGTCTAGTTTAATTTTAAGTGATTTAGTTGGGCAGTTGGGTTACAGAGGGCACAATACGTGACTTTCTCTCCCCATCTCTCGGCCATCTCTCCTTCACTGTGGGGTTTATCCAAAGCCATGCAAAGCATTGCAATGCCCACAGGCTCACCGATTGGTGCTCGCAGCTTCTTGCGACCATTTCAGAGTCGTGTGCTCAGTACCCTGAGATATCCCGAGTCAGAAGGAAAACAGCTAGACTGTTCTCTTAGTCGTTCTCTTGCTGCGTGTGGCACATTCAAAGCTTCTGAGATCTCTTAACTTGAGCTTTTTGACTGGTCCATTTATTCAAGGCTTCCCCCCCTAAGATCGTAGAATAGATCAGTATGTTGCGGGCTACAAGCCGCAAAATCCTACCGATACTTGGCTGGGTTACAATACCGAGAAATGCGTTTGCCTGTTCCTCCTTGCTCCTTGCTTATGCTAGATGACTTCTGAGTTCAGACAATGCAGATGTAGGATGGGGCATATAGAATCCGGGTCGGTAAGCAATAGACAGCATCCATCGGTTAGATTGTATGAGGGTAGGTGCATTTTGCCTGCCCGATTTTGGGTGATCAGTCGATGGACTGAACGTGTAAGTCGAGCAAAACCAAATTGAGAACGCCAAATCTACAAGATCTCAAGCCAAATAAGAATGCGTGAGCCTGTGTTTGCGTTAACCTTGTCCGAAGTTATGTCGCTGAGTTGGATCTTGCGTCTTGTTTGACACCCATGCCTTTTCAGGCTTTCACTCATTTGAATTCATTAGATCTCCCTCCGTCTCTATCTCTATCTCTACCTCTCTCTCCTTCTTTTCTCGCTCTTTTTTTCGAAGTTCTTCTTCGAGACGGAATCTCCCTTCTTCGGGAAGTATAGGGGCAACAACGGGCAACGGGAAAGTTTACCCTCCATGAAAATCACCAAAATCAGATATTCAAGGAATTTGGATAAGATGATTGAGATGCGTGCAGGCTCGTGTCATTCGGGCTCAGTTTTCCAGCGTCTTGGTGGTTGACTATGCGCCAAGCAGAGCAGCTTGACGCCTCTAGAAGCACATGAGCGCTCGTTTCAATCGAAATGAAAGCGTGTTGCACGTTGTCGTGGGCCAAGGCGACATTCTCCAATTACGCGGAGGCACGCCTTTCTGTGAGTGCCTGTCAGTTGAGCAATTCGAGACTGAAGCGCAAGGACGCACTTGGATATAAAACCGGACTGCTATGTAGTTTTGGCGCTGGAGTATCTGCAGTTTTGGCTGACATATACAAATATATATATATATATATGTAAATATATGTATGCATCGTGTTTGGCAGGCACTGGGTGTACATTATCATTAGGGTGAGCATGTAAGCTGATGAATCCATTTTGGCTCAAGATTGAGCCAAACTGGCTTCATCATTTCTTCTTCCCCGCGCCGCTACTAGGGCGTAACCCTGGCGTAAGGTGGTTTTCGTCTCCCCTACTAGGGTGTGACCCTAGGGTATAGCGGGGGCGATTGTTGGGAGTGACCCAACTCATGCCCAGGGCTCCCGTTGTTCGGCCTGGGTGGAATGTGGCGGCCCACACTGATGCTGAGGTGTTGCATGCCGCGATCTACTACGAGTTCAAGACCCATGTGGAAAGCCTTTTGCAGAGGGGCCTTACCTCCCAGGCGGTTCGCCTGTGGTCTTCAGTGTGCCAGATCGGCCACTTTCCCGGATGTCAAGAGCTGCCGCCGTACCCTGCACGTCCCGGGGATCATCCATGAGGAGGGCATGAGGTCATGGGTTGACATGGCCATCAGGAGCTCCCTCAGAAACCCATTCCGCGAACCATGTGGCTACATTGCGACACTCAGGTCCAAAGTCCACTTGGAGCTCAACGAGCTGGCACCCACGTTGACGTTGTCATGGGGGATAAGAGGCGCACAGGGCCGATTTTGATAAGCTCACTAAGGCAGTCTATAGCTTGCCTGTCAGGCCAACCTGCAAGGAGAGCTGTTGTGATTGATAATCTGTGCTGGAAAAAGATGCTATCCTTATACATCCGGGAGGATGAGGTTTTGGGCGGGCTGAAGTAGTCTAAGCGGTGGATCACAAGGTATAAGCTTGCACAGGGTTCTGTGCGTTCAAGCTGCTGTCACATGACCCGGGGAGTAGGCTAGGTTACCAGTCTGTCTCTACCCCTGAGGAACGGGGGAGGTCCTGTCCAGCCCCCCCTGTCGCCTTCTCAAGTCCCTGAATGGCAGGTGGCAGGCTACATGCGGGAGGCATGAGTGGGGTGTTGAGCAGCGTTGAATTTTCAAGTCCCACAAGGAGTTACCTTGAGAAAAGATGTACCACCATATAAGAGACCATGGAGTCACTGGGGCTTAATTTTTCGTTGGACCCGGTAGTGACTAAGGCGCTGCTGGCGACCAAGATCCAGAACCTGGAGGAGTTCCGTTTCCTCTTTGAGGATGAGTCCGAGGTGGATACCTTCCTGTCCAAGCTGCAGCTCGGTGATGATATGCTGATTCAGGGGTCCCGCTTGCGTAGGGCTTGGACAGCGGTGACTCTGTATTACAAGAACCAGGGCTTCGAGATGTCAAGACGAATTTTTGGGTACGGTATCGTATGAGGTTCCACGGAAATCCATCCAGCCGATGCAACCCTATCGAGGGTCAGCCGGGAGTTGTCCAAGAGAATGCTCTGTGTCTACAACCTATGGAAAGTACGGACACTTCAATATCAGCTACACACAACCAGAAGAAGCGCAAGTTGGCAGAGGGGCTCCATACGGAAGATGCAGAGGATGAGGACAAGACTCCACATGACTGGGAGGGCTACATGGACCGTGTTGCAGGCTCTTGCGATTGCCTTTCTGGCTAGCTTTTCCCTTCCCTTTGAATCCCTTTGATTTTTCCTTTGAAGACCCACTACTAGGCCAGAATCCTCTGTTCTTGAACCGATCGCTCAACCTTTTTCTCGCATCGGTGTATGCATTGTAGGCTTGAGCTAGCTCTTCATCTTCCTGAATGGTGTCCTGCATGGCCGACTCATACTCCACTAAGATTGCATCCTCGTCACCCTCGGCAGCTAACTGGTCAACGAAGTCCTCTTCGAAGCTTTCCTCTGCTACCAAGACCTGTTCTGATTCAGCTACATCTTCGGCTATAAGAGCATGAGTGTCATAGATCTTTCCTTTGACCTTCTTGGCACCTGTGACATCATGAAAAAACCCTGATCCAAGCATTCTCACTGCAGCGTTCACCTTGGACATTTCAAGCACTCCCTTGGTGGTGGCTTCTGACTCCAAGATAACACGCTTTTTGTCCTCTGCTGACAGTTGCGATCCTCTGAGAATTGCATATGCCTGCAGTTCCTGCAGAGACACTTTGCTTGTCAAGAGTTCTGTCCACAAGACGTCGGCTCTGGCAAGGTAGCTATCATTGCTTTCATCATTTCTTTGCTGACAACGGTAGATGGCTTTCTCAAACGTTTCCTACTTTTTCTCTAAGGATATCTTGCCCCACTGACCTCCAAGGATTGTCACAAGGCGCTCAACACCCTTTTGATCTCCAGTCATCATTTCACTTCGCTGAAGTTGCAGTTTCTGAAACGCAGCTCCACTTGTTCCCAGTATGAGACGTGTGATCAGTTCATTCATCTTTGTTGCAGGCCATATACTTGAAAGCAGTTCTACCTTCTGAGAGTACTGTTCCAGGTCATGTTGGGCAGGATCAAACTGTGGCACCAGGTTCGTCAACTGTGTAGGCACCTGTGTCTCAGTGCCACCAGATGATTCCGACATGACTGTCGGCCAAACCAGTTTCTCTCTCAGCTTGACCTAGATCCCTTCCAGTTTGTCAGGAACCCCCTGGATAGGAGGCTCCCGCTACCAATGTGATTGGTTCACAACCAGTAGCCTAACACCAAAGATCTGCACCCTGTTGCAATGAAAGGCGGCCACACCTTTTCACCACTCAGCTTCTGCTCGATCGGAATCCAAGCAACCCAAGCTCTGCCAACGAAATGCCGGCCTTCTGACCCTTCTGTTGGCCTATGCCATGGCGGGAGTGACCCCCAGGGCTGGCGTCAAGGATGCCTCTATGGAGAAATCCCTCGGCTTGGACTGGACCAGCTTCGTGGAGGTGCCGCTGGATGTGGTGATGCACTACTTCTACAGGGCAAAGAAGCAGTCGAGTATCTTGCCTCTCTTGCAGAGGTTGGCATGGCTCGAGGCCAGAGACTTGACTGGGTGGCGAGATTCCGCGAATCCTCCGAGATCCTAGGGGAAGTCATCAAGGAGACTTGCCTGGCCAGGGACGCGCATTGGGTGCCCCATGCAGCTCCTGGAGTAGCAGGAACGAGGCAGGTAAGTCACCCCAGCCGTCGCCCACAGCCACCCAAGCGCCATCCCAGTTTGCCTTGGGGAAGCCAGTGAACGGGAAGAAAGTCGCGAGGGTGATGGCACGAAGTTGTGCGCAGCATTCCAGCATGGGCAGTGCAAGCAGCCCAAAGGATCTTGCCCGCAGGGCCAGCACAAGCGCGGTGTCGTGGTGAGGAATGAGCGGGTTTGTGGAATGCCTGGGCACGGTGCCGGCCAATGTCGGGCGAAGGTATCGCCATGACGGGGCCCAGCGGAAGAGGCGGGTATATCTGCTGGGCAGGAAAGAATAGAACCCGTGGACATAGTAGACTGTCAGTTGGCGAGGATGGCAGACCTCTATGCTGGCCCCAACACCCATCTATCTAAGGCCTTCATCTTCTGCGGTTGGGAGACAATCTCAGTGGATTCGGTGCTGGACAGCAGTCACGATCTCTCGAATAGCCTGAGGCAACAGTCACTGCATGAGCAGCTACAGTCCGTCTGTTCCATCGCAGCGGCATTGGACTGCTCGACCAAGAGCGGGGACTTCCCGGGAAAGTCGCCCCAGCATGCGTTTACTTGCTGTGGAGCAGTTGCGTAAGATAGAAAACGATGCTTTAGAAGTAAATATTGTTTCATCTAGCTTGTGTTTACACTGGTGAACTTGTTTTTTTTGTCATGCCTGGCTCATTCATGTGACCTTCGAGCAAATCCAGTCAGGTGTTTACATGTCGCCCTGCCGGGGGGGTGCCTTTCTAGAGTAGTTGCATCGGTTCATCTAATTATAGTAGATGCTGGCCTGCAGCTAGGCTGTTGTCGGGCATCCTGGGCTGCTGCTAAATGGCAGCGGGATATCACCATGGGCACCGTGCAAACTGCTGCTGAGCTGCTGCCAGACTGCTTCTAGACTCCTGCTAGACTTGCTGTGCGGATGACCTGTTACGGCTTTACATCTCACATCTAGTGTATGTATGCATCGTGTTTGGCAGGCACTGGGTGTGCATTATCATTAGGGTGAGTATGTAAGCTGATGAATCCATGTGCCTCAAGATTGAGCCAAACTGGCTTCATCATTTCT